AGGAACTCAGAACAAAGAAATGTATCATCTATTGATACAGTTGAGATGTGGGATATGCAAAATAAAAACTAAGACAGAATAGAACAAGGTACCAAAATACACTGGAGTTTGAAACCAGTTTGGAGTTTGGGCTGGCTATGAACAGAGTGGTTTGTGGGATGAAGTGAGGCTTTGAGGATTAAATGAAGTACACGCACACACACACACACACACACACACACAGAGCTGTTTGTCACAGGTTGTGATGACACTTTAGTCCTGGAGACACAACAAGGAATCCTAATCACACTGGAAGACAGGGAAGGCTTCTCTAAGAATAGGAGATTGATTTTTAATGTTTTGAGGAAATTCTATAAGGGACATACTCATTTACATTCCCACCCATAGCATGCAAGGGCTCCTTTTTCTCCTCATCCTCAGGAACACATTATCTTTTGTCTTCTTGGTAACCACCATTCTTACTGGGGTAAGGTTACGTCTCACCGTGTCTGATCTGCATTTCCTTGATAAGTAGTGACATTGAGCATTTTCTTCAGTCACTATTATGATGTACAATTTTTCATGATTTTATGTATCAGTTAAATTGTTTTGAGGAGGTCCTGATGTTTAGCCCAGGGCCTTATGATTACTAGGCAGAAGCATTACCACTTGAGCCGCACCTCCAGACCTTGTGTGCTTCAGTTATTTTTTCAGTCAGGGTCTCAAATTTTTTTGCCTCTAATGTATACCTCCTGTAAGTATAAACTATCACATTTAGTTTGTCATTAGAAATGAGATCTTACTGACATTTTGTCCAGTCTGGACCTGAATGTTCATTCTCCTGCTCTACCTCATGAGTAGCTGGGATTTCAAGTGTAAGCCACCATACCCAACTTTTACCAGATTTAAATACTGTTCTGATTACTTCTATATATATGAAACAATTTGAATGCTCTTTGTCATACTGAGTCAATTTTGCTAAGTTTTCTTTTTCCAGGAACTCGCTAGCACATTTACTTATTTAAAACAATTAGCATAAGATTGTTCATAATATTACTTAATAATATTTTAGCTTTTTAAATGTTTCTCTTTTTTCTTTATATTGATACTCCCTGTTGATTTTGTGGGGGTTTTTTTGACAGTTTCAGTTAATAATTTTAGAGTATATTTAAAAAATAATATGATATCTAGGTCCAGTTTTAGAAGACAAGAGTTTGTCAGGAAGATAAATGAGTGCCAAGTACATAAATGAAAGGCAGGATACATTTTAAAGTGCTAAAAGTCTCAACCTTTTCCTGTAAATGATTGGGGCCATGAGAGTTTTTCAGTAGGAGGAGGACATGATCAGGGATGAGTTCCAGAAAAACCCTCCGATGATGAAATCAGAGAAGGATTGCATGAAAAAAGGCGGGGGGGGGGGGCAAAGAAGAATTGTACTACAAAAAGCCACTATAGATGGCTCAAATCTATAGTCCTAGCTATTCAGGAGGTTGAGATCTGAGATTCAAGGTTTGAAGCCAGCCTGTGCAGACAAATTGAAGAGACTATTATATTCAAATAACCAGCAAAAGCCAGAAATGGAGACAACTCAAGTGGCAAAGCTCTAGTCATGAGCCAAAAAGCTGAACAAGAACATGTGGCTCCAAATTCAAGAAAGGGGGAAGGAGGAAGGAAGGGAGGGAGGGAAGGAGAGAAGATAAAAGGGAAGGAGGATGGGAGGGAAGGAGGGAGATTTCTCAGGCGTTGTGATACTGAAACCAAATATGAGACCCTATCTCATTACTGGTTTTGAACAGCTGTTCTGAACATCATAACCTAAGAACACAGATTATATGTGGTTACTTCCTTTGGAATTAGAGACCCTTACTCCCTGACATCATCTATTTTGTGGGGGTATTTGTAGATTCTAAACCAAATCACAAGTAGTTATGGAGCAAGAGACTTGCTGAGACTAGGAATGCAGCATTTCTACCCTGGATAAGCTGCTCTCCAGCATTTTGGATGGGTTGTCAGGTCTCTTATATAAGTGACCAGCCTCTCAATGTAGTCAGGCATTCAGCCTGTGTGGGAGAGAAGAGAAATTGTCATGTCTTCCTCTGCCCGGTGAGTTCATGCATCTGCCCTTACCAGTGAATTAAGTGTAAATAAATAAATGCAACCAAGTTCACTGGTAACCTTTAGTGCCTGCCATTAATCAGGGTAATAAGGCTTGTTTTATTCTGGGCCTTTCACGGGGGTTGTAGAAAGAAAAATGGTTACATGAGGTCAGTTAAGTTCCAGCTCCCTGACACTTTGTCAATACAATATTGGCAATTCAGTTATAGTGAAAGACAAGCACATTATTTAGCTGTTAAGAGTTAGTAAATAGATTATTTATAATGTCTTCTGTCATCAGTCATCGCCCAAGCCAACATGATACCAGCTGCCTGATAATTTTCCTGCGAAGTACTTAAACAGTTCTCTCTCCCTCCCTCTTAGAATCTCTCTTCCATTTCTCAGTGCTCTCTCTTTCCCCCTCTCACCTTCTATCTTCTCCTTCTCTCCCTCTCTCCTTCTCTTCCCCTCTTTTTCTCTCTGTGTCTCAGACTCCGCATGTATTACAAAACCTTACAACATTTGAGATTGATGAATGTGGAAATTTATTCACAGGAAATGAAAACTGATAGGTATTTAACATTTAATGTGAAATAATCTACTGTAACATAAAATACTCAAAATAATACTAACTGTTTTAATTGTGCCTGGTCATTAAACTGCCACTTTGGTCATTAAAAAAGATAGGTAGATAGTAAGTTATTGACACAAGCTCTGCAAATAAAGTGGATTATTTTAGACCTAAATTTAACTTAAATTGATGATTCCTGCCTCTTCCTCACCTTTCAGCACCAAAACTGTTTTTCAGTATTTACCAGGGATCCACCCAAAGTCATTATGTTAACATATGATAATAAAATTCCCAGTAATCAATTCTTCCCTTTTATTAAAGGGAAGAGATTATTTAACATATAACTGAGAGAATGTGTGTTAGCCATTTGGGAAATGTGTATGCTCATCTCACATCACACATCTAAATAAAGTCTGAATGGATCCAAATTTTAGTAATTACACACAGTCCGAATTTTGAAAAAGATACAATTGAGGAGATATCAGACCTCTGAGGAGAAAGAAAATGTCTAAGCTTGGGTTCCGTGTTCATCCACTGACCCCTCTCCGAGCTTTTATTTCCCTTTACTTCTCACTGAGTTCCTGTCTGTCTAGGCAACAATTCTAATTCTGTGAACATCACGCTGTCTAGCAAGAAGCAAGACTTTCCTATTTGACCCCTATTTGAACAGCTGATGTCTTCTCATTCTTCAAGACTCAGTAGAAGCCTTGTCCTTGTCCCTTCTCCATCCTCTCTACCTCCACTGCCTACTGGGGGTTGGGATCTGGGGGTCATGGCTCCCTGAACCTACCATAGTACACAAGGCCAGACATTTCATGCCCTCCTTTCCCCATGGACATCATGCCGTTTCCATGATATATAAGTATCTTGTGTGTACATGGGTCAAAGTTGGTTCTGTTGGTTAGTTTGTCCCTGTATAAATAACCCACCATAGGAATCATAGTAGTTTGGGACTTGTCCATGGGACAAGTCCTCTACTCTGTTTTCTTTTTGATAGATTTTGGTGATACTATGCATGCTAAATCCATTAATTTAGGTCTGATGTTTTACTTATCTGCTAAGAGGTCTTGTTAATATTTGACTAACTTTATTCCTAAGTACTGTTTAGAGTGTATTGCTTATTGTTGTTTTTCTAAGATATGTAGAATTGTTTTTCTAAGCTACGCTTTCTAATTATTTGTAGCTATAGAAAAATGCCACTGAATTAGGAGGCAGCTAGAGGACAAGGACAGGATGGCAGCGGTGTCTGGGCTCATGAGGAGACCCCTTCAGCAGGTTTCCGGGCTGCTGAAGAGGTGCTTTCATAGAACCGCGCCGGCAGCGCTGCAGCTGACAGTTCGAGAAGCTATTAATCAAGGTATAGATGAGGAGCTGGAAAGAGATGAGAAGGTATTTCTGCTTGGAGAAGAAGTTGCCCAGTATGATGGGGCATACAAGGTTAGTCGAGGCCTGTGGAAAAAATATGGAGATAAGAGGATCATAGACATTCCGATATCTGAGATGGGTTTTGCTGGAATTGCAGTTGGTGCAGCTATGGCTGGGTTGCGGCCCATCTGTGAATTTATGACCTTCAATTTCTCTATGCAAGCCATTGACCAGGTTATAAACTCAGCTGCCAAGACCTACTACATGTCTGCAGGCCTCCAGCCAGCCTGTGCCCATAGTATTCAGGGGACCTAATGGTGCCTCAGAAGGTGTGGCTGCCCAACACTCACAGTGCTTTGCTGCATGGTATGGGCACTGCCCAGGCTTAAAGGTGGTCAGCCCCTGGAATTCAGAGGATGCAGCCATTCAGGATAACAATCCAGTGGTGATGCTAGAGAATGAATTGAAGTATGGAGTTTCCTTTGAACTTCCTGCAGAAGCTCAGTCAAAAGATTTTCTGATTCCCATTGGAAAAGCCAAAATAGAAAGGCAAGGGACACATATAACCATAGTTGCCCATTCGAGACCTGTAGGCCACTGCTTAGAAGCTGCGACTGTACTATCTAAAGAGGGAATTGAATGTGGGGTAATTAATATGCGTGCCATCAGACCAATGGACATTGCCATAGAAGCCAGTGTCATGAAGACAAATCATCTTGTAACTGTGGAAGGAGGCTGGCCACAGTTTGGAGTAGGAGCTGAAATTTGTGCCAGGATCATGGAAGGACCTGCATTCAATTTCCTGGATGCTCCTGCTGTTCGTGTCACTGGTGCTGATGTTCCAATGCCTTATGCTAAGATTCTAGAAGACCACTCTGTACCTCAAGTCAAAGACATCATATTTGCTATAAAGAAAACACTGAATATCTAGCTTGGACTTGAATATCAAGTCATTGGGATTTATTTAAAACACTTGGCTGGAGCTCCATCTAGATTGTACTTGTAAGGCCTTACAATTCAGAAAGTAAAGTTATCTCTAAAGCAAAAAAGAAAAGAAAAGAAAAAAGAAAAATGCCACTGATTTTTGTACCCACATCCTACAACTTTGTTGGATTATACTGTTATATTACTATTGTCATTATCATTACAATGCTAGAGATCAAACCTAGAACTCAGTGTGTGGTAAACAATCCTATCTCAGAGATAGGAACTCTAATCTGCTACCCCCCAGGCTAGCTTCAAACCAGGATCCTCCTGTGTTGTTCTTCCTAGTACCTACGACTATAGGTATAAGCCACCTCATCTGGCTTCTTAACTTTCCATGCTGGCCAGGATTCTCAGTAATAGTCATTGGAAGCAGTCATTGTAAACACTTTGTTCCTTTTTTTTTTTTAAGGAATGTATTCAACATTTTCCCATTAAAAATTGTCAATTTTGAATTAACAAGTCTAATGATCTAATGTACAACATGAGGACTAGGATTAATAATAGTATATGGTATTCAGAAGTTTTGATAAATGAGTAGATTATTGCTGCTCTTGGCACAGGAGAAAAGTTCTGTATGCCAAGAATATTCTTAACAATCTTATGAAGATATCTCCATCAAATAGTGAATAGTGGGCTGGTGAGGTGGCTCAGTGGTAGAATGCTTGCCTTGCATACATGAGGCCCTGGGTTTGATTCCTCAGCACCACATAAGTAGTAAAAGTTGGAAGTGGCACTGTGGCTCAAGTAGTAGAGCGCTAGCCTTGAGCTGAAGAGCTGAGGGACAGCGCCCAGGCCCAGAGTTCAGACTTCACATCCGACAAAAAAAAAAAATAGTGCATAGCTACCAAAGAGTCTACAAGTAGATGAATAAAAGTCAATGGCAAAGAATCCACACAAGAAAATAAAACATCCCTAATTTTAATAGGGACATGGATAAAGTCCCTAAAATTCAATTCTCAAATGAGGAAATGCAACTAGAAATAAAGTCCAAAGTGGACACCATACTTCAGAAACAGTTTAACAGTTAAAAGCCTCAAACTAGCCATTATATTTCATCTAAGTAATTGTACTACAAAAATAATCTACAATAATACGTTTTGGAAGAGAAAGCTTTATTTCTCTAACTTAACTATAGTAAGACTTCTCTTCTAATCCACAAGATGTTTGTTACTGCTACTCTTGCTAGAAGGCTAAAGTGGGAGGAATTAGAGAGACAGAATCCAGAATCTGTGCATTCAGAATTAGCATACTTGTTAGAGAATTGCAGGACATTAGATGTCTACATGCTATTTGATTTCTCCCAGACACTGGGTGAAAGGGACATGCCTATTGCAGTAACCATGCCCACACCTGATCAAAACACACAACAAAATCCTCATAATCACAGTGGCTAGAATGCCAAGGTCTTCATTCTAATCCTCTACTAATTTAACAAAAAAAAAATGGAACAGGAACATTTAATAAGAGGATAACTACTCAGATATAGTTATTCTTATAAAGTTTTGGCTCCTATAGGAAATGTAAGACTTCAAGTCAAATGACCACAAAAGATTATTAGCTGAAGACTGAAAAGATCTCAGTTTACCCACTCAGATTCTGGGCCACTTTAAGGCACAGACGTTCCCTGTTTGGGTAGTGCCCTCTACAATAATCTTCAGTATCTATGATTTTTCCTGAGCCACTGTGACACAGAACCTGGAAGGTCCCTGGCTATCCATCAAAAAGCACTAATGCACCAGGCTGTCACCTGTCATCCAGAAAGCCTTTCACCACCACCACCAGGCCACTTCTCATTCCTCTGTGGAATGCACTCAGCTGGATCAGCCTCTAATACATCAACGTGATTTCAACTGAACTGCAGAGCTAAATACCAGAGGAGTGGGGCACTTGGAGAAGAGAAGAAAGAGAATGAAATAACTATCATTACCTCCCTAAACTTCAACAACTACGAAAGAGCTCTCGTCCCAAGAAGTCCAGATCCCCAATTTCAGACGATGTAATGGCAGCCAGCTCTGTAGAACAGAAGGAGACACTTGTCTGCTGATAAGATTTCTTTCCGCCCCTCCCACTAAACAGGTGGAAATGATACTATGGCATCAGTCTAGGCCAAAGTTTCAACCACTGACCTCATAGTCAATTTAAGCTGAAAGCAGTACTTTGTAGACTCCAATTCGAATCTTACTGAAAGTCAGTAAACGATAGACTCCTCTTCTAGAAAAATGTGATTTCATACATGCATATCCTCCATGACTGCTATACTTTGGATCTTGAATAGCCCCCAGAGGAGTTGACAGCTTGGTACTCAGCCCATGACACTATTGGGAGATGGTGGAATCTTTAAGAGTTATGGCCTACTTGGAGGAAGTTAGGTCATTGGGAGTGGGGCCTTGACAAGGCTATACACCTTCCTGTTTCTTTCTTTGCTTCCTTGCCACCATGAGCTGAACAGCTTCCCCTGCCATGAGCTGTCCCCACTCCATGCTCTCCTCCAGTGTTCTTACTGACTTGCCACAGGCCCAAATCAACAGGGCCATGCAACCCAGCCAAATAAACCTTGCCTCCATATATTTATTCCTCCATATTTATTCCAGGCATCTTTCTCACGGTGATGGAAGGCTGAACAGTTCAATAATATATAGTATCAGTGGAGCCCAAGGACCACCAGAGGCTGGTGCACAGAAGCTATAGGCCAAGTTTCTTGTCCCCAGGCTTTCATGCCCCCATTCTGTGCCTGTGTAGACCTTATCAATAGAGCACAGAGTTGTATTCTACTAAACTCAGAAGTGATCTTACAACTTTTCCCAGCACTAAAAGTTTCCCCTTACACAGACTTAATGTCAGAAGGCCTTTAGATAAAACAATTTTGTCACTTTGGCTATAAACATTATTGGTTTAAAAAATATATATATATTCTAGGGCTGGGAAGGTGGCTCAGTGGCAGAACGCTTGTCTTGCATGCATGAGGCCCTGGGTTCAATTCCTTAGCACTACATAAGCAAAAAAAGCCGGAAGTGGCGCTGTGGCTCAAGTGATAGAGTGCTAGCCTTGAGCTGAAGAGCTGAGGGACAGCGCCCAGGCCCAGAGTTCAGGCCCCACGACCGGACTCAAAAAAAAAAAATATATATATATATATATTTTTTTTTTTTTTTTTTTAAAGAAACCCCTCTTAGTCTCATGTCCTCCTCTGTGAATCTGTATGGCTCTGTCATAATGTAGGAACATACTTTTGTGCTAAGGAAAAACAAAACCACCTATGATATATATATTTTTAAGTCAAAATTATATAACACTTTTTAAATGGTATTCTAGATGCATTTTTCAACTAAAAAGTCATAACATCATTTCCCAAGCCAGAAGCATCATTATGCTCATTTCACAGGTGGGAAATTGGGAATTACAGAGAGGTTAATAGCTGTGTCTAAAGCACACAGCACGTCTTCCTTGGAAGAAGCCAGAAACACAGGTATCGTCCAAGTCTCATACTGTTCTGTGATCAGCCAAACTTTCCTGAGCAAGTTTGGCTTGGCCTAATTGGCATTCAATTTTAAAAAATGTCTTTCATTAAAAATATAATTTGAAGAACTGGGTAATTGACTCACATTTGATTAAGGCAGATTCTATTGGATTAACATGATTAATAGATAAAATTATAACCAAACAGAAAGCAGTACAAAAGGTGATAAGTCATGGATCACATTAAGATACTAAATTTTCAGAAGATGGATAGATGGTTTTTTTTTCTTTTTCTACATTAGAAATATTCATTTCACAGTGGATCTCACACTGTTCAGTTCTCACTAGTAGGGTAATTAGAATGAGGTTTGTGTTCAGGATTAAAAGAAGAAGCACTTAGAGGTGTTGTGATTTCACAGTAAGGGAAACCTCAGCTGGCCTCTTTCTGATTCTTCTCAAATCATTTTGTTCAAGCTGGGTGCTAAATTTCTCAAATGGATAATGAAGTGAACCACTCCAGTGCTTATTCTTACTCAGACCTAAGTGGAGCTCATGCCACAGCAAACTTCAAAGCCTCTTTCAGGAGATGTTTACCTCCATAGCCTGTGTAGGGATGACACAGTCCACAGTTTTGTTTTGTTTTGTTTTTGGCTTTTGTTTTTTGTTTTTCTACAAATGCAGAGTTATATTCCAATAGGAACTAAGTTCATTGATAGGAAACTATTTTAGCATTAACAATTTCTAGTAGGCCAACCAGGAATTAAAGTGTAAATGCACTTGTGAGTTTTGTCACTCCGTATTAAGTCCTTTTTGCGCACACACACACACACAAATGGGAGTTGCAGTAATGTGAATTAGGATGATGTGAAAGTTTACGTGGTTCCTAACACCAAGACTTTTGCCATGTAAGGGAACTGACTGGGTAGTAGCAGCATCTTTTCCAAAATTTCCATGTCTGCAAAACTGGGAAGAGGAAAGGACCTGGCAGAGGTCTAACCATTGCATAGTCTTCATTAGTGGCCACAGAGGGAACTTACATCACACACAGTGCAAAGCAAATACTTCCTTCCCAGGAAACCAGCCCTAGTGTGCTATCCTGGCCACCAATCTCTCTAGGCTAACATTCCTAAGATATTCCTCCAAAGAAAATCTGGAGCCACCCCGCTAGTTCCTGGGTCATCCCATGTTATTGTATGACAGTATGCTTTACTCAAGTGTTTAATCAAACTAAAAGTGGAACTGGAGGATGATGTTGCAACAATGAGTTAACTTCCTTTGCATACAAAAATGACCAAATGAGACAGGTGCCATTATGCTTATAATCCTAGCTACTCTAGAGGCTAAAATCTGAGAATCATGGGTTTGAAGGCAGGCGAAACTTCCCTGCCACATTGACAGAAAAGTCTATGAGAGCTTATCTCCAATTAGCCATCAAAAAAGCCAGAAGTGGGGCTATGGCTCAAGTGGTAGAGTGCAAAAAAAAAAAAAAAATCTCAAGGATAGCACCCAGGCACTGACTTCAATCTCTAGGATGGTCACAAAAGAAAAAAA